CTCCTGTAATCATCTGCTTCATTCTGCCTAATATAAGGGATTACTTTACTATGAAGCCAAAAATTAGGTGGAGCAAAAGAAAAAATATCAGTATGTATCCTACCAGTGGTAGATATTTTCCGTTACTGGTTAGAAGAGTTGCTCCTCAAAAAATCAGAATTTCTTTTGTAGATATATATAAAATAAAATGAGAGGCTTGCGGGGTAACAGTGCAAGCCCAACTCATAGATGCACTAGCTGTAGAGTGTTAGGAACAGAGAGAATCCCCTTATACTGATCGAAAGACCCTTTTGGTGGCTAGGATCTGGCAAAAGAGGCATCTGCTCAAGAAAGGGCAGAGCAAGGGAGGACCCATACCAGATCAAAACCTTCTCAGCCCAGGGATATTGTCAATAGGCCAACAGAGTCACACCAATATGAGGGTTTGTTGTTACATGGTGTCAAATTGGAAGACTTACAGCAATCCTTATAGGCAGTGGTCCCCAACCTTGGGCCTCCAGATGTTCTTGGACTACAACTCCCAGAAACATTCACCACCACCTCTGCTGGCCAGGATTTCTGGGAGGTGAAGTCCAAGAACATTTGGAGGCCCAAGGTTGGGGACTACTGCCTTAGGGCACCCTTTCATTTTAATTTTTTTAAAGAGCCGGTACTTGTTTACCTTGACTGACTTACCAGCCGGTAAGTGCTTAGCAAGCAGTAGAGTGTTTTTACCAGTTCCACATTCTCACTGAGCTTCCATGGCTGTGTGGGGATTCAAATCCAAGCACCCTGAATCCTAGTCTGTCACTCTGTCCATTACACCACACTGAATATCCAAATATGAGGGTAGTCCTATGTAAATGATAAATTCCAACAGTCCTAGTTGTGAGGCGCTTGGATTCAGCACAGTTTCAGTTCGCCTACTGTTAGCTCAGCTTGCCCCCAGCAGCCTTGCCTATTCTAATTGCAGTACTGTACAATCCTATTTGGAAGTCAGTTCTGGTGGAGCTCTGAAAAGGACTTCTAGGAAAACTGAACATGATGACATGCTGAAGCCATCTATAACCGAGCAGTGATTGAATGATCACTGTGATCTGTCTACTGTCTACAGAACTTGGTTATTTATAAGCCACCCTGTTAATGCAAGCACTACACTGGGTGGTTTACACAAGATTAAAACTTACAATATCCCACAATAATAACAACAAAAATACAGTATGGTGATACAACAGACAATAATATATTCATAGAAATGAATAGCCTTATAAAGAACTAGAAGTCTTTAAATTCCATCTTTACCATATTTTAAATAAAAAGAGGAAAATAACTTGGTGTATTTCTGTCAGCATTTTAGTCCAGAGACTAGGGGCCCCAACTGAAAAGGAACAATTCCTTGTGTTCACCTTTTGGGTCTCCTTTGGTGTACCAACTTTTAACAACATGGACTGTGAAGAGCGGGTGGAGAGGGCAACTGTTTTGTGGGAGAGAGGTTCTGTTAAGTATCAATGTCCTAAACTCTTATGGGCTTTACAGGGTGTAACTCCATTCAGGGCAGGGAAATGGCCCTCCAACCGAAGGGAGGAGGTGGAGAGTTCTGGTAGAGCTCTGAAAAGGACTTCTAGGAAGACTGAACACGATGACATGCTCAAGCCAGCTATAACTTTAGTGGTCATTTGACCAGATAGGTGGGTATAAACAAACAAACAAACAAACAAACAAACAAACAAATAAGGGTCTTTTCCATGGATTCTTCTCTTCTCATGAAATGGCCAAAGTATTGGAGCCTCAGCTTCA